AGGTAAAAGAAAGTATTTGGTTGCCTAGATAAAAATAAAGAGAGAATATTAATTTTCATTTGTGTTCTGAAAATGAATCAGTTTTATGGGTTTTTAACAACATAAGATTTTAATTTTGGCTGAACTAATGCTTTAAAAAGTCTTTACAAAGAAAATGAAATGGTCTAATGAATGATTTCTTTTATGTGAAGGTCTGCCAGTAAGTTACTGTAATTTCTACAGGAAATTTTTAACAGTGTATCTGAATTCCTACCTCGTAAGGTAATTCACACCTCAGCTATAATCACCAAACAGAACAGCAAAATAGTTGTTTTCAAACAGGTTTCCCAATACCATTGGTTAGAAAAGCAGATAGCCTTGCCCCAAACTCACAGTGTCGACTGTCAATATTGTTCTTTTGGTATGGTTGTAATGCTCAGAGTAGCTAATGTTTTGATGCTGTCACAAAGCTTCATTGGGAAATTATCCAAACAAATGCTTTTTCTATAGCTGTATCTACAGAAGGGATAAGAGAAACACAATTACACATAACGGCTTCAAATATTTAGGCCTATTCATGAAAGAAAAAGTACAAAAGGATGATGACTGAGTGAAAGAGAGAGTGAGAGAGAAAAATAAAATAAAAATGTTTGTCATGGGTGGAGGCTCACATGTCCTGTTTGTCCAGCTGCTTTGCCTTTAAACAAATGTTAATACAAATGTGCGATTGCAATTTAGAGGGACTGTCTCCAAATGAAACCAAACTAAATCCAACTCTGTCAAACTCTTTTCACTTTTTCCTTCTTTTTTTAAATTTACATATTTTAAGTAGCCTATGCTAATGTCGTTGTCACTTATGTTAAACAAAGAGGATTGTGGCTTTATCACTTCTGAAACATTTATTTCTCTTCAAGCTCCAATATCTAGGCTACTTTCTTTATGTAGGCTAACAATTTTTCTGATTAAAAAACGAGTTTGCCGGAGATTGGCTAAACTGTCTAACAGAATAGAACGGAAAACACTACTCATGTGTTGATGTGTGCCTGAATATAAACAGCTAGCAAACACTGGACTAAATTGAGAATTACAAACTTACATGGTCGTCTTGCTTTTGTCTAGTAAAAGTGGAACCAAATTGCGGACTTAAAGTACACAAAACCAGTCACTTTCGTTATAATAGACTGCAGAAGAACCAATTCAAATAACCTTGCCATTTTAGGCGGTGAAAAACAAGCCCCTTTTCCCGAAGCTTTTTCTGGCGCCATATCAACACGCGTTCAACTCAACGCGCCGTCCGCCATTTTAGCGTCACTAACCTTTCACTGTTTACCGTATAGAATATTGATACGTGACGGCATTTAAACACTTTAACCGCAAGCTTTATGTGCTTTTGTCAATAAAAACAACGCAATTCCTCAAATGTATGTTCGATCACCGATGGTATTGATATATAAGAATCCAAAATTTAATGTAATGTAAATCCATTTAATTATTACTGAGCTCACAAACATTTTTGCGAGTAACCGTCACGTGGCTTTCGTTAGTGCTCAAATATGCATCACTGTGTCATTTAATTGTCAGATATGATTGACAGCTGATTTTAACAGATTAGCCTAAAAGATTAAAACGTGAATCATTATGTTCTGCTTAAAAAAAAAGTTGTCCAGCATGTATAACTTGCAAGTTCCAATTTTTACATTTTCATTATTTCACTATATAATTTTATTGAAATATTCATAATAGGTTTTTATGGATTTAAACACTAACACAATGTATTATAACTGCTATGGATATTTTAAACTGTGCATAAAAATCGCGAGTGCTCCTTCTTGGCATCAGAGTCGTCGCTAATGGTTACGAATTAAACAGCTGGACACACATTAAATCAGTTCAAATTTAGCCTATTTTACATCTGTATCTTGACGTGAAAATACTGTTGTCGCTGAAAAACAACACGCTATTTCGTACGTGAGAAATCTTAGCTAGCTAGCTAATGCAGTATAGGACCTCCTACTTTGGTTTCTACATGCCAATCCTTGGAACAGGGTTGCCAGGTTTTCACAAGAAAACCTGCCCAATCGCTACTCAAAACTAGTCCAATCGCGTTTCGAGGGGGTCCCCAGTTAAAAATCGCGTTCCAAATAAAGTAGCCCAATTCCGCGGGAAAATCGTGGACTTGGCAACACTGCTTGGAAGCACAATGCATATGTTGGGGGAAGGCACTGGGGTAGATTAGGGATAATCTTCTGGACTGGGGAGTAGCGAGGTCTCCGGGACTAAGGTACAAATAAGGTAGGACATATTTGATGTTTTTAAAAGCACGTTTTTGTCAGATTTTGTGTCTGAGTTACGATTCTGCTGAAACAGAAACCATTCTTATGTTTTATGATCCTATACAGTTTCGCTGTATCTGAGCGACCATTACAGCAACACAAAGACATACTGACAAAGACAATCGGTCTTAATACAATGAGAACACGGTTATGGTTTATTAAAAAAAAAAAAAAAAAAAAAAAAGGTGTTTACTATCGTCTTGCTTTTGTCTAGTAAAAGTGGAACCAAATTGCGGACTTAAAGTACACAAAACCAGTCACTTTCGTTATAATAGACTGCAGAAGAACCAATTCAAATAACCTTGCCATTTTAGGCGGTGAAAAACAAGCCCCTTTTCCCGAAGCTTTTTCTGGCGCCATATCAACACGCGTTCAACTCAACGCGCCGTCCGCCATTTTAGCGTCACTAACCTTTCACTGTTTACCGTATAGAATATTGATACGTGACGGCATTTAAACACTTTAACCGCAAGCTTTATGTGCTTTTGTCAATAAAAACAACGCAATTCCTCAAATGTATGTTCGATCACCGATGGTATTGATATATAAGAATCCAAAATTTAATGTAATGTAAATCCATTTAATTATTACTGAGCTCACAAACATTTTTGCGAGTAACCGTCACGTGGCTTTCGTTAGTGCTCAAATATGCATCACTGTGTCATTTAATTGTCAGATATGATTGACAGCTGATTTTAACAGATTAGCCTAAAAGATTAAAACGTGAATCATTATGTTCTGCTTAAAAAAAAAGTTGTCCAGCATGTATAACTTGCAAGTTCCAATTTTTACATTTTCATTATTTCACTATATAATTTTATTGAAATATTCATAATAGGTTTTTATGGATTTAAACACTAACACAATGTATTATAACTGCTATGGATATTTTAAACTGTGCATAAAAATCGCGAGTGCTCCTTCTTGGCATCAGAGTCGTCGCTAATGGTTACGAATTAAACAGCTGGACACACATTAAATCAGTTCAAACTTAGCCTATTTTACATCTGTATCTTGACGTGAAAATACTGTTGTCGCTGAAAAACAACACGCTATTTCGTACGTGAGAAATCTTAGCTAGCTAGCTAATGCAGTATAGGACCTCCTACTTTGGTTTCTACATGCCAATCCTTGGAACAGGGTTGCCAGGTTTTCACAAGAAAACCTGCCCAATCGCTACTCAAAACTAGTCCAATCGCGTTTCGAGGGGGTCCCCAGTTAAAAATCGCGTTCCAAATAAAGTAGCCCAATTCCGCGGGAAAATCGTGGACTTGGCAACACTGCTTGGAAGCACAATGCATATGTTGGGGGAAGGCACTGGGGTAGATTAGGGATAATCTTCTGGACTGGGGAGTAGCGAGGTCTCCGGGACTAAGGTACAAATAAGGTAGGACATATTTGATGTTTTTAAAAGCACGTTTTTGTCAGATTTTGTGTGAGTTACGATTCTGCTGAAACAGAAACCATTCTTATGTTTTATGATCCTATACAGTTTCGCTGTATCTGAGCGACCATTACAGCAACACAAAGACATACTGACAAAGACAATCGGTCTTAATACAATGAGAACACGGTTATGGTTTATTAAAAAAAAAAAAAAAAAAAAAAAAGGTGTTTACTAAATTGTCGTTATTTGCAAACATGTTTCGCACTGTATGTTTAGCCGTTTACGTCTGGGTTAAAGCAACTTTTAAAGTTAAAATCACACAAATGAAATTACATTTCAGCTTCGTTAGCGTTAATCCAATTGTTTTGAAAGGGTTAAAAAAGACAGTAAGTGTCACTGTCAAGATTATAAAATAATCGAAAGCTTTAAAGCACCACAATTCGATCATGTCACCCCACCAATAAATCAACCGCTAAATATCTAAATGCATGCTACCGGGTTGTTTATTATATCTCATGTTTATTTAATTACTTTGATTGATTTCGTGCGCCCATTGTTTGCAATCCACAGCGTTGTTGTCACCGGTTAAACCTGTAAAAGTGAAAGCTACTTTTTAAGTGTGCAGCATTCGCGGCAAAAATTACCCCGCGAGATTTTCATGAACTGGGGAGGAGTTGTTTAACTCGACACAATGACACAAGAGAGAGGCTGTAGTCTTTTTAGTTTTGAGGAAGTCCAACATGAGCCAGACTAGGCTCACTAGACTTCAGAATACAAAACATGTATTAATCATCATGCCTTTTAGATTAACCTCAAAACATGTATCTCACATGCAACTTTACATGATATAATTCATATGCTTCTGAGATTAACTTCACATTATACATTTCATATGAACCTAAGAGTAACTTCAATAACTCATATCCATCATCTTCACCCAGCATTATCTTTTAAATAAGTCTCTCTTTTTCACAAAATTATATATAGGTGAGCAAAGTTACCTTGTTACTGGTTTAGTGTCATACCTTACATGTAAGCATAAAACTACAAACACTTCTATGATTTCAAATGTGCAATGTAATTTACCTTTGGCTATGATTTATTGCTTTTAATTGCTGTCTCGCATGCATTATTATTTTGCTTATGAAAGCATAAGATGGCTACGAATGTAAGTCTGGACCCCAATAACCCTGATGACAAGTGCAGTCGCTATGAAGTTTTGTCCTGGATCAACGAAACATTAAAGACTAATTTTACTCAAGTGGAGCAATGTCGTTCAGGTACTGTTAAAATTTTATTTTGGTAATATCTACACATTGCCAACACCTTTAAACTGAACATCATTCTTTCTTTTTCTTTTATCGTTTTTAGGTGCGTGTTTTTGCCAGCTTATGGACTTGCTCTTCCCAGGATCCATCGACATGAGCAAAGTAAAGTTTGAGTCCCAAAAGAGGTCTGATTTTATACAGAACTACAGTCTTCTGCAGACAGCTTTCCGAAAATCAGGTGTAAAAGAGGTCAGATTAACCTTAATCTATTCTTTTACTCCCAGTAATCCTCCTGCATATAAAATTGTAAACATTGAAGTTGATATGTGTAAATTTGGTTATATTTCTTATGTTGTTTATTCTGTTTAGTCTCATGAGTGGAACAGAAACTACATGCTGGATATTTAAATGTGAATCTTGTATGGTTTGCAAAGTAGGTTATCTGTCAAGCTCTTTACAGTATGTTGATTTTCTACATTTTTTCTACATTTTTCATCTTTCAGCCAGTCCCTGTGAAGCAGCTTCTCACAGGAAAGTTTAGAGCCAATTTCACCTTTCTGAAATGGTTCAAGAAATTTTTCTTTGCCAATGAGAGGCGAGGGAAAGAGTACAACCCAGTTGAAGCTCGTAATGGTCAGGATATTGTACAAGTAGATGACCCTGTTAAGTCTCCAAAATCCTGGAAAATTCCACGTGAATCTGGTGAGCCTCCATTATTGTCCATTCAGTTTTTATTTTTATTTTTTTATTGTTATAGTTTATTTGTTATATTTTCAGTATGGAGAATTTGACTTTTATTTGATTCAGTTTTCCCACAATCATGGATAATGTTGAAATATGCCCCAATATCTATAAAAACATCAATAGGACTGGGAAATCAATTTGTCATTGAAATACATATACTATTCCATCACAACACTGATGTAACTTGTTTTCCATTTTATACAGGCAGAGTAAGAGACGAGTCTGACAAAGACATGGAATTGAATGGAAGGAGGCGACCTGTGACCTATGATCCTAAATGGCAAAGAACCTTCAAATGGATCAGAGCCAGCCATATGGGAAACAACTGTGCTTACTGCACATTGTGTGACATCAATATTGTTCTACACGCAGGTTTTTTCGATCTTAAGCGACACCAGCAGGCTGAGAAGCATATGACGCATGAGATGGGAGGATTAAATTCATCTGGTAGAAAGCTGATAGAAAACTCTATTTCCTATAGTGAAACCATGCTGCTTTTCATTCAAAACCATTGCCTTTCCAGTTTACCCTCAAGGATAAACAAGGTCTCCCAGCGTACTGCAAGCTACATCCTCGGCCTAAATTATCCAAATGATATTGTTTCTGCTTGTAAGATCAATCCGTACTGTATCTACATATACGGGCAGGTGCCACTTGATGCAGAGAACATAAAAAGGAGCTCCTGCCATGCAGTACTAGTCGGCTTTTTTGAGGAAAAGCGATCAAGATATTGTATCCGTCTCCTTGATGTCTTTCAGGCTGAAGATGGTAGCTCTGTATCTGGATGTTTACTCAATGTCCTCCAAAAGTTTGAGCTTCCTGCTGGCAACATGGTAGCTCTTTATGTTAATGACCAGGAACAGACCTCAGGAAGTGTTGTGTCGCAGATTCAGGAGCTCAACCCACAGGTGATTGATCTTGGTGGACTTTACAGCGTACCTGACTCTGCCTGCAGTGCTGGCCTACAGGCTCACTCCAGTCAGGTTCAGGAGCTTATTGCCAACATCTATGAACACTTCTCAACTTGTTCCACCAGCAACGACAACCTCAAGATGCTGTTTGCGGGCATTGATGAACTAAAAGACCCCAGCACTCCCCTCTCACACAGTTGTGAGGAGTTTTGTGTGCTTGTTCAAAGGATGCTTGGAATGTGGAGTGATTTGGTATCATACTTCACTTCCTGCGATGAAAATAATGATAAAGCTAAGCAAATTTGTTCGCAGCTGGAGAATCCTAAAATTAGAATCACCTTGATGTTTCTGGATCATGCTCTTGGACCACTCCGTGCCTTCGAGCAGCACCTGCAACAAAGCAAAGGCTCTGCTCGTGCTGATCTTGTCCAGGTCCTTCGAGAAGCAAGTGGGCTCCTACGTTCGTATGCCTCCAGCTTTCTTCGCCCTCAAGCGGTTATACGCTACCTGAAGGAACGAGACCCAGCCATCCTGGAGAACTCAACATTCTGCCTTCCTGCTACTGAGCTCAGTCTAGGTGGTGTGATAGAAGACTTCATCTCCGCCAGAGAAGAAGAACTAGCAGATTACCTGAACGTGTTTCATGATGAGTGTTTAGCTTTCTACAAAACTCTTACGACCTCCATTGCTGACAGTCTACCTCTGAGCGATAGTGTCCTGAGGGGCATTTCACAACTCCTCAGCCCGGCAGGAAGATTAAAGGTCACAGGAAAGAGTATAGTTGACCTTGCAGTACAATTTGGCATCTGCTCCAAACCTGAGGATTCTGCTAAGCTCACAGATGAGTTCTTGGAGTACCAGCTTGTAGAGGATGAAGAAGACACATCTTCAACCCTTACTCTGGAACAATACTGGTGTAATGTGCTCAAGTCTTTTCCACCAGAATCTATCTTCAAGAGACTTGTCCTCTGTTTTTTGGTTTTGCCCTGTCCGTCTCTTGTAGCAGAAAAGATCTTTGCACAGGTATCTATCTGTCTGTCTGTTTATTCGTTCTACCATTTTATCCATATCTCAATTTTGTCATGTGTGTACTTATACACAGGCTGTTGAAAATGGGGATGCTGCTCATTGGGATGATAGTTTAGGTGAAAGTGACACAGATTTGGCGAAAGATCTGGATTCCAATGATGACTCTTCTTTAGAGCACACTGAAGGCAAGATTTCACCTACCAGAAATGGGAGAATTAAAAAAAACAGAAGCAGCACATCAGGTAAGTTGTCCTAATGGCCTTCTTCCGTTTTTTTTTTTTTTTCATTAAAAAAAAAGGCAAGGCAGCACCAATCACTGGTAAAAAAAAAAAAACCCAAACTCCGTGTCCAACAATAGTTGAGAAACCTGAAGAAAAAAAAAACAGCCTACACACCAGAAAAACACTCACAGACCCTCTAATAAATATGTAACTTCTGGAATTCAGGGCGCACAGGTGTTTTATTAGTCCATCTGAATGCCACATTGTGCTTTCAATGTAAAGGCTACTATGATGGGCACTGGTGAGGAAGAACTAAAAACTTTGACTAATCATTGGGCTTTGCGAGGATCATGGTATTCAGTTTGAAAGATATTCAAAGTTGCATTGCTGAGGAAAAAGTCTGGATGAGATCGGATCATGTCAGAGCAGGCTGACAATTGCTTTCTCTTTTGTTCATTGTGGGAAGCAGCCCATTGGTCACTGCCAAGACCATAAGCGGCTCCAGTATTTTCAAAATTTCTGGGTGTATTGATGATTTGTAACTATGCTTACACAAAGCGGCCAAATGGGCAGTTCTTAGCCAGAAAAGCTGTAAAGTGAAGCTGGCCTTATGCAGACAGCCAGATGTCTAGCTCTGCAAGACTAATATCTGGATTAAAGTATGAAGATATAGAAACATCATCTAGCTTGCATGTTATTAACACAGGTACTAAAGGGTGCTCCTCATATTACGACTTGCTTTCCCAATGAATTGTCATGGATTAATTTAGTGTTATCATTATCCATTCAGTGTTATAATTTACATAGTAAGAACAATAAAATTATCAAATTGTAATCTATATATTTTTTTTTTTGTATCGCTGTATAGTGCAGTTAAAGTTCTATCCAGTCAGATCCAGCAGAGTCTGGTTAGATTGATGTAAACAATGTGCTGTTTTCCAGAGATGGTTCAACACTCAAACACAGTGAAGCCGTGTGTGGTGCAACTGGAGAAGATCACCAGTCAGAGAAAAATTTTTTTTTGTATCGCTGTATAGTGCAGTTAAAGTTCTATCCAGTCAGATCCAGCAGAGGCTGGTTAGATTGATGTAAACAATGTGCTGTTTTCCAGAGATGGTTCAACACTCAAACACAGTGAAGCCGTGTGTGGTGCAACTGGAGAAGATCACCAGTCAGAGAGGTGTGATTGAAATGCTTAATACCAGTTTAAGAGGTTCTAGAGCAGCTACAGAATAATGCTTTACGATCTCAGTTGCTTCTGGTGGCAAATGTCTGTTGGTCTGAACTTTCTTCCTTTGCTTCCACCCTAAATGCTCAAGAAAGTTGATCCATTGCATTGAAATTACAAATGTAAATGCTCTGTTTGTCTGTGCTCAAAGTAATGTTAATTGTTGCTATCTTTGTTCTTTATTCTTGACTGTTCAATTTAACTTTTTAAAATGTTATTTCCCTGCAGAAATGGACTTAAGGAAAGATGGAGCTGATGATGATCTCTGGACAAGTAGCACGTTACATGAGGTAATAATAGCTGGAAAACTGGCTGAGAAACAACTATTAAATGTTTTCAAGATTTGTTTTTAACCAAGGAATTCATTCCTGATTGTCAGTGTAAATAGAGGGCAGGCCAACATGTATATTTTAATGGCCAATGCAGATAATGAGAATGGGGCGGTGTATATATAATTTCAGTGTATTCAGTATTTAATTATATAT